ATAATAATGATAATAATAATAATAACAATAACAATAATAATAATAACGATAATAATGAATAAAATGACATTTGGAAAATGTGAGGGCATAAATGAAAGTTAACATTAAGGTAGAAGAAGAAATGGAATGAGAAATGGTTTTTCAAAAATATTTTAAAATACATTATGCTATTCATAGAAATAAATATAAACAATCAATTTTGAATTTTTTTTATTTTAAATTTTCATCCTTTTAAATTTTAAATGAAGCTAAAGAAAATAGCAAAATAAAAGAGTAACAAATTGGAATGTTATCATATAAAATGACCAATGGAATTACTTCTTTAAAATGTGTGCTGAAATGTCGCATGAATCAAAGGATGATTATAGCAAAGGCTCAACAACGCGTGACAACTGTTTTTATCTTTCGGCGTCTAAATGTCCGAATAATAATTGGACGGATTAATTGGTAGAGGAATTATATAAACCTGTTTCTACAGGAATGTTGCAAGGGAATCACTATGAGAGAAGGAGAAAGAAGAGAGTGAGGTATGGTATATTTTATACATGTCAGGATTATTTTGTTGAAATTTATTACTTCAATAATTTATATTTCAAATTGTCGGTTAATGGTTCCGGATGACTTCAGAAATGATAAAGTATTCATGATTTCAAGGTATTATATGTTGGAATGCACTTGTTTTTCCGGAATAATACCGGAAACGTATTGGACAAAGTATAGCTCTTTTGAAATATGATGATAGTTTATTAGGGACGCTTCATATTAGTTTAATTTCAAAAAAAAGGAAAGCATATGTTTCATTGCTAATTACTTCTGATGATATTATCGTTCAGGAAATGTTACCGAAATTTCATTCAAAATATTTATTCAACGATTTCAATTGAAAGAGATTTAAAATAAAAAAAAAAAAATTAATTTGGGATGATATTGTTTCTGAAAAAATTAAAGGAAAGGAAAAAAAAGTCTTGGTTTTTTTCTTCAAAAAAAAAAGTTATTCAATCATTTGACTTCACTCAAAACTGAAAAGCATGTTATCAACAAATTCAGAAAAGGCAATAATTTTAGGATCAAATATTCGGCAACTTTTATGCATATTTCCAGAAAATACTATTTCAATTTCCGATTCATGAAATTCCTATTCTTGTTTACAATGTAAAACTTTCATATATGGATAAAATATTGATTCAATTACCTTTCACTTTAAAATTACAAATTGAGTAAAAGCAAAAAAAAAGGAAGAATCAAAAAATTTTTGAACGATAAATATATTAATTTATTTGAATTTAAATATTCAAATATTTTATACAATCGATTATTTATCGATTTTTATATGAACGCTATCACTTCCCAATAATAACAACAACAATTACTAATACTACAGCAGCAATTACTACAGCAGCAATTATTATCATTATTGTTATTATTATTATTATTATTATTATTATTATTATTATTATTATTATTATTATTATTATTATTATTATTATTATTATTATTATTATTATTATTATTATTATTATTATTATTATTATTATTATTATTATTATTATTATTATTATTATTATTATTATTATTATTATTATTATTATTATTATTATTATTATTATTATTATTATTATTATTATTATTATTATTATTATTATTATTATTATTATTATTATTATTATTATTATTATTATTA